ATGGTTTAAGAATTGTTCTAATTGGTCAAAAAATACGTCTGGCAGTATAGATTTGTTAATAATTGTTTAAGAACAAGTGTAAAATTAGCTTTTGTCCGAAGCTTCGCTAGCGTGGTTATATTTTATTTCGTATTTAAAACTTTGGAAATATTTACTTGATTCCTGTAGGGGTGAAACTTCAACAATAAAAACGTTCAAAGTGGGTGCTTATAACAACAAAGTGCATCAGCAGCCGAAATTTCAAGTTTGTAGTAGGTAACCCCAGTGATTTAGGCTTCTGTTAGTCAGGGCAAGTAATTTTATAGGTATATAGATATAGATCTATGGAAATAATCAAAATTACTTTAAAATACTTTGTTGCATTTTTACTTTGCAAGGCTAATGTTGTTTTTTATTTTAAAAATAATTGCGCTTTTGCCAATGTCTAAAAAATATTCTGTAAATCTTTAACTACCGTATTCCAAGATGGGATACAAGAAGTGTCATTAATTTAATGGTTGTCTTAATTTCTGTTTTGGGAACTAATACTGAACGGCAAAATTTGTCCTATACAATATAATGTCGGAGAATAGAAACAGATTAGCGCCTCATAATATAGGATACTTTTAATTGTTTAATTTAATGCAATAGTTAAGTTTGGAAACATCAAGCAGGTTGCTTGAGTGAATATCAGTTTAATTTTGTAATGTGGCAATATTTGTAATTGGGGAGGACAGACCGTCCCCAAACTTTGTTTTGTAATATAAAGTGATATCGCTGCGTCTGTCTGACTCTCTGTGCTTGATTAACTCAAAATGAACCGGTTTTAATGCCAATAGACAGTGGTATTATGAGAGTATTTCTGAGGAAGATTTATGTGTATCTATTAAGGTATAGTGTTGCCGCTGCAGTGCACTGTCAAGTCACCCGGCGCCCGGGAGCTTTTCTAAGGGCAAATTTTATACCGAAAAGGGCTAATAGCTAGCTAAAACGTGTAATAAGTGAATAATAAACGGAAAAAATAGTTGATTTTTAGTCATCATACATACAATTACAAAAGAGAAAGAGAGAGAGATATGACATCTGTTCCTTTACAACTTAAATCTTTAAACCTACGCAAAACTTATTAGTAATAATAAATATTTGTATTAAAAATTATAATGTGCACTATAAAGTAATACTAGTAGAAATAAGGCTATACAGAAATAAGGTTAACATTTTTTGTTTATTGTTTATTTTGCCATATAACACGGTGTCCGAGCTGTGTGCACTGATGCAAAAGTGAAGCCTGTCTACAGCAAGCATCCATTGATTTTTCAATGATGTTGAATATTTAGACCGTGCCTAAACTTTCAATGGTTTGAATGAATCACAAATGTATCTAAAACAAAAAAAAACGACTCCAAGGCATCGAAAAGTATCTTGTTTATTTTTGCTTGTTTCATAAGCTTACTTCAGCTGGTTATTTATATGTAGACTCATCTCGAATGCTCATATTTCACTGGCAAATACTTAGTGTGAAGTGCAATATGCTGTATGTTCATGTGTGGCATCTATGACTTATATAATAGAATTTATGTATAGTAAGTATTATTTTAGTTTTCGTGCTTCGGCGAGCCTCGGAGCCCTAAAAAGCCAAACAACAGTCGTTCTATATAATTTCGATATTGGCTAGTAGGTACTTAGCTTGTAAAGGTCTGGCAGAAGAAGGCTGGCTCCCCGAAACAATCGAAGTTCAGCCGTATCGCAGTAGACTGAAAAACTGACCCCACCGTAGTTTGTGAAAAGGGCTTGGCAGAAGAAGTATTATTTTATAACAAAACAGGTAATTTAGTCTCACATTTTTATTTTAGAGCAATGATAATCAGTTGAGAGTGTGTGTATATTTATCTCATTGTTTCTGTCTAACTTTTCAATAATTTTCTTTTTCTTTACATATCAATCTGTAGTGCCTACCCACCACCCTAAGGTAGACTGGGAGTAAATTCCTGATGCATTAAGTCCACCATTGGTCAACCCATATTTGTGCATAAAGTATTAAAATAAAATAAATAAATAAAAATAGAGGGTGTAAAATAATACTTAACAGTTTTCTTCGTCACAAAAGTCTCAGAGATTGTAATGTGTAATTTTACAAAAACCAAATGAAATTCAACACATTACCCTGTAAGACAGCTTAACTACGTGAATACAGATGAGGGAATCGCGTGAGATTGAAATCGCACATCACCTAGTTAGTGTTCTATTTATATGCAATGATTTAGAGCAACGCACTATCCTAGATATATTTATTTACACACTATCCCAGCATAGAATAATGTTAACTGATTGTCGTAACTGATCTTAGATTTTAAAATATTTAAAAAAAAACTACAAAATGCCACTGTGCTGTATAGATAAATAGTAATAGTATTAGTCCAGGTGGTGGTGGATTTAAAAGACGGAGTGTCACCAACCCTGCTCATCTCGTGGATGTCGTAAGAATTAAAAAAGGGATCACACTACGCACTGCACTGCAAAAAGAAGAAAAACTTGAAACAAACCCTATACCCAACCGTCTGACCAGCGCGGTAGAGTAAGCCAAAACCTCCTTTCTAATGAGAGGCCTATGTCCAGGAGTCGACTATTAAAGGCTTTTGATGATGATGATATATATAATATGGTTGCATAGCTTTTACTTTTTATTCTTACTTTCTTTAACGGAACATTAAGGGGAAATTCTTCGATCTTGTTGTGCTAAGAAAATGAGCTGTCTCGCCTGGAATAATATAGTGGTTTCAGAGACAGCCAGTATTAAGTATTTTTAATCGAATGAATGAGGTTATCGGAGCCCGAACTGGTGGGTAGGATCTCGATGACTTTCTTGTTGAGGCATCCCGGTTCCCTGCAATTGACTCAATTTACATACTACTCGTATACTCACATAGAAAAACGTATGGTTTTCGTCGATCCGAGTCTATCGTACCCCTTCACCCCTACTCTGGCGCAGCGGTGACATTCAATATTAAATATTATTTTTGAATAATTAGCAGCGATGAATTAGGTATGTTGTTTCGTACTAACAATGGTCTAGAACAATTGAGTCTTATAAATAATGAACATTCACTTAAATACACTAGAATAAATTATTTCGTAAATAAGTTTCTAAAAAAATATAATTAGAAGAGCCAGGCCAACGCAAAGATATTTTTATTTATTCAAATATTTGCAATGAGCATAAAATGAACCCGTGAACCTTCGAATTGCCCTCATGAGTACATAAATCGATCTAAGTGGCGTGCAAAGGGAGAGGCCTATGTCCAGCAGTGGACTGCGATAGGCTGGACTGGTGGACTGGATATGAGTACAAATGGATTTATAAACGAAATCTAAATCTAATTATAGCCTTGGTTACAACTCATTAAAAAATAAATACATGAAAATGAAGTAGGTATTCTTAAAACTAATTGACATCAATCTCAGAATAATAAATCTGGTAGACTTCCGTTGCATTTAAATTGCAGATCGATTTCATTGCCATCCTGTCTGAGATGACTTTGAAATGTTACGTTGAAAATGCTGTCATCATTTAAATTGAAACATTTTGTATTTACCTCTTACGCGAAACTATCGCGTTAGCAGTGTGTAAATAAATTATTTATAATGTATGTTACAAATGACTAAACTTCACTCTTTATCACTAAGAAGTCACAAATGAACTGTGTCAAAATATTAATTTGATTTAAGAGTCCAAATGTTTTATTATTATTATTATTGAGTTAATACTTATTTACAAATATATAGTAAATGGATTTCTAATTGAATAAAAAATGAATTTTGCTAGTAGTAAATATAGATCATTTTTGATCACTTAGCTAATTAAAGCTGTTTTAATTCAATTTTGGATAGAACATTACTGCAGAACACGACTCAATTATTATAATCAATGCATTATCGAACAAACGTGAACAAAAAAAGGTTGCACTTCTACAATAACATAGCATAACATAACCCAGTATAAAAACATGAATAGTAATCGATAAAGCTTCATTCACTATGAAACCACCCCGTTTGGTGGTGATTTAATTATAAACTGACGAGTGGCGAGCAATGAGTTCACCACCGTTGACTTCATTCACCTCGGCATGAATCTGCACAGGGAATGGTGCAGCCAAATTTCAATTATAAATTATTGATTGAGTTCTTTGTTGACGTCCAATATTTTAACCATTATTATAGAACAGGTAAACTTGTACAGTGCAGTGCTGAGCCTCAACTTTTGATCAATATTTTTAGTCCTTCTGCATTTAAATATAATTATATATAATTTAAATATAAATGAAAGGTACTGCACTACATAAGATATTGACTAAGTTCTCTTCTGGGTAAACCATTTAGTAACCTACAATGCAATTGTGTACAGTAGTGGTTTTGGTACTAGGTTGAACTGACGAGGATTTATTGTATGTACCCGTCAACGGAAGTGGCTATTTTTGTGAACAATTATAGATTTTTTCTTGTTTAATTCAGAACTCCACATTTACCGGATTATTTGAATCGATTAGCTAAATATATTTTTCTTAGTTGGAAGGAAGGTTTTAAGAAAAAGTACCACTCTTAATGGTGTAAAATTAAGAAATAAAGAAAACAGTTTAATATGTTGAAGTCGATGATACTTTTTTCAAATTTAACTATTGTTATTTATAGTATCACTTGAATTCATATTATTTTTTTATTTATCCATTTATTTATTTCGTTATCTCACAGCATATATGTGAAACATTTATGGCAAAATCTAGGTAATAAGGTTCTGATATACATGCGACGCTAACACAGCATTCACAGTTAGGTTTTGAATACGATTTTGTTATTAATTTGTATGTTGATTGATTTGAACAACCTAATCAATAAATATGTATTAGCGGACTTCCTCCCTGAACGCTATAGTTCGCATTTCAATGAGTATTAGTTCAGAGATAAATACTGAAGCGAACAACGGGATCTTTCAGTCTCTGATTGTGATCTGATTGTAACGTGCAAACATGAAGATATTGTTGTGCTTAGTTTATATTTTCTGCGTTGGAAGTATTCAGGCGGCTGGACCTGAAGGTTAGAAGTCATGTGATGCAATGTAACTCAAATTAAAGCAACATTACTTCTCATTCAGTATATTTTTTAAAAGATTTGTTTGTCTAAATATTGTTGAGATACGGGTGTTAGATATAATATGACGTCCATAATATTTTGCTTTTCCCAGCATTGTATATGCTCAAATTCAAATTATTCCAGCGTACAAGAATTAAAGTTATATTTATTTGAGCAACATTTCAAAATCAGTTGTTAAAACCGTTATTATTATACATTAAATAAGAGTTTAAACTTATAACAATGTTTGCTTGGGTATCTATTAAATTGAAGTTTTTAGAAAAGATATTAAAAAACAATAATTCTAATAAATTGATGTAGAAGGTCCATACTTCGGCATATTCAAGCCAACTCAGGGATTTAAAAATTGATTTCGACGAGTGAGTGAGATAACCGCATAAGCTAAATTTTATTTCAAATTTTGTTAATTTACAGACAACCACGTAAGACCATGCCAGAAAGGTGACCTGGACTGCATTAAACGTTTCTTTGCTACAAACTTCAAATGCACACCTGGATCTGCTGATTCACACATAATCAAAGTGAAACAACAACGTTTTGAACTCCCAGTAGCTGGTCTGACTGCAACTATTCACAACGCTGAGATTAAAGGGTTAGATATAGGCCGAATTGAGGAATTCTAGTAAGTTTGATGATTTAAAAAAAATAGATACATATATTTTCTAAATGCTTTTTATAATATTATTGCTTGTTACCATTTGCAAATCCTTTGAATGACCATCTTAGTGAACAGGACATTTCTCCAATCTAGGACATAGGTTATGAAACTCTGTTTGTTACACTGCGCGGCTAGTCATCAGATTAGAGATTAAACTTAACTATAAAAATGAAATAGGTTCATGAACTAAAAACAGGACTAAGTATAGTTTTCGTTCAAGCGTTACTATCGTAATTCGAACTGTTCAATAGATATTAGATGGTTAAGTAAATTACAGAAGAAGTCTTTTACCGTCAGATTGACAAACACAGAATCAAAAAGCATATCTTTCGAATTTTTGCAGCATAAACAACAAGACAGATATATTAGTAATGGAAGTCGTTTTTGACCAAATCGTGATAGATTCAGAAAAAACCGAAATGGTTCATTATCGCATGGGCAGAGCACCTACTGAACTAGAAGACTACACTAGCACAATATTTAGTAAGTATATACTACCTTACTCGTGTAGGTTACGGAAAGTATTCTCCACACACGTTATACTTTCGAAATTATTTGTTATATTAATTATTATCTAAAATTTATTTTAATAATTTTTCAGAGGATTTGAAACTGACAATGACCATTTTAAATGTGAGTGATCTTAATACGTCGTCTTGTTACGTGTATGCATTGATACCAGATGTAAGTGATGTCAATTTAATAAAGGGTCCCGGACTGTCAGGATTGGATGTGACAGGTATTTTTTATTTTAAAACTAAATAATGCTGGTTTGAGAAAATAAATATAAATCTTAATACATATCTTTTTACAGAACTTTTTAACATGGCCAGAGACGCCATGTTGACAGAAGGTAAAGCTCTGATGGAAGCATTCTTGCGATCCCAGATCTGCGATCTGAAGTGCGAGATTTAAAAAGTATTTTCTTCTTAAATGGATGTAAAGAACTCACTAGCAAGTTCTAACATGCTAATTAATCGTTAAATATGTTGAATAAAACAAATCGGCAATACTTATTGTCTTGGTACAAATGTAATGTGTACCGTACTTTGGTGTTTTTGTAAAAAAACTTTTTTGTTAATAACATAATTATCAATACGCAAGTAAAGTTATATAGCTTTTATTAACAAATATTAAAATGTTACAATAAATATATAGGCAATGTAAAATTATAAACTAAATAAATAGTTAGCCATTGTTACTGTTAATATCATGACTTATTTATTATCCAACAACCTTTACTCGTGGAGGAGTAGAGAGGCAGGTATGTTTAACACCCACTTGCCAAGTAAACACTTACGTAACATGGGGTAGGAACCTTTGAGAACAACGTAAGGGAATATTAATAGTTTATAAAGAAGTCACTATAGATAAGATGGGAAGACATTAGAAGAAGCTATTGGGAGGTTTTTCTTTTATAGCGTAGGGGGCAAACGGGGAGAAAGGTCACCTGATGGTAAGTGATTACGCCCCCATGGATACCTGCAGCTCACGAATCAGTAGTGCGCTGCCACCCTTTTAGTTCTTCCCCCCAGAATCATGAGGAGGGGGGTTTGAGGTCCGGTAACCCGGTTAAAAGCAAGAAAAGAACTGCTCAACACCGGTTTTCTGTGAGACCGTTGTGTCACTCCAGTCTAGCCTGGTCTATATGTTCCGAGGCATGACTCTCCTGTGTTTGGGAAGTGCAAGCAATATGTCAGGGTCAAACAATTTAAACTGGCTGCTGCCAAGATGTCTTTTGAACATTTTTTTTTGTTTAATGAGATATTTAACAAAATAGCAATAGCAAGCAAAAACAAAGCAATAACACGTTGTATAATATTTACAGTTTCCTGTTGGTGTAGTGGTTAGTCACCTTGACTGCTACACAGAGGTCGTGGGTTCGATTCCCACCCAAGACTAAGAAAGGTTGATTTAAAGAAGTTTAATAGCTTTCGCAGTTTAGTGTTTTGATTGCTTCCAGAGAAATATAGATTGAATTATTCCGGATTACAATATAAAATTAATGAATAGGATTATAAGGTTTTTCTTACGTATAAACATTTGAAATGTATGTTTACAAGTCAAAGAAGTCAGTAAAGATCGGATACTAAAATAATAAGAGTTATGTTGCCTCAGACCTACGACAGAAACATTCTTGATCTAAGACTTATACTTCAATAGAGAACTAACCAACTTTTATCATACAAACTTGATTACTATAGGGCTTAAAAGAAAAGGGCTTAGTTTCATTATCCAGTATCAAACTATGAAACTATAACATGTTTAAATTCGATATTTATACTATAAGGGAATAATACACAATATCAATAATAAAAAACTGAAAAAGCCGTGTGGTGTCGTGGGACACCCGATAGGAACGAAGTTGACACGAAAATAAATAGCAAAAAGCCAACATCACGTGGTATTCCCAGGCGGTCACCCATCCAAGTACTAACCACGCCCGATGTTGCTTAACTTCGGTGATCGGACGAGAACCGGTGTATTCAACATGGTATGGACGTTGGCGAACGTTAAAGCCAATTTAATGTATGGTATCCACAGTTAGACGTCAATTTATATTAAAAGTGTCGTGACCAATTTTCGTTAGAATTTTTTCCGTCTAGCCCCCTTTCACAACTCGCAATAAGGAACTTCGTTCCAATTATTATTATAGTCATTTATACAAAACACACATCGACCAATCAACAGACTTTAATAGTTCACTGCTGGATATAGGTCTCTCCTTATAAAGAAGGCTATGGGCTACAAAAAAAACACGTAAATAGAGTTACGTAACTCAAAACTCAGTTGACTGCAAAATTTAAGGCCTTCGAAAATAATAGCATTATTCATTAAAAGTTTACACCTGTAAACTTTTCAAACATGGTAACTCAAAATCATGTTTACTGCACTTAGCTGGATTTTGAATTAATTTCTCAATATGGATAATTAAATAGAACTTCCTATTTTAAATTTTTGGATGTTTTTTGGGCTCTTAGTTGGATATAAAATTAACAAAGTTGCTTTGCGAAAGCACTCACTTGAGATACTTCATCAGAGCCTAAACCGGTACGAGGACCGAATCGACCCCGATGGCGGCGCCGGGCGACGGACCACGGCGGCTAAATGCACCCGACCACCAGAGAGACTTCCCTGGTGGCTAGGTGCGCAGCCTCTTGAAAGTCCGCCTCCCGGGGTCTAACTAGCGTGTCATCGGCGTAACAAATAACGCCCAGCCCGGAGGGGAGGAGTGCTTTCCTGATGTAGCTGGAATTGCAGACTATTGAATGCGTGGGCGATGTAGACACCGCCAACAGCACGCCGCCACCGCCTCTTCGGTCACGGTCCGTAGGCGCAACACAGCACCGACTGTCGAACGCCCCGCTTGAAATCCGAATTAGGCGTCCGACAGATCAGGGCCAACTTCACAGAGGTGCCGGACGATGCGGGCAGAGAGAATCCTCTCGAACAATTTAACCGCCTCGTCCAGCAACACAATGGGCACTCAGGGAAACGTCCAGACGCCAAGCTAGCGTTGAACACCTCCATGAGGCGGTCTTCCATGTGGTTGAGGGCTTGAACCAACACTCGAGCCGGTATCCCGTCTGGCCCAGGAGCGGTCTCCCCGCCGACTCCGCCTGCCAAAGAGGCCATCGGCGGGGGTGTGTGCTCCACCAACGGGTGAATTCCTGCAGGAAGCTGGGCGCGATAAAGGCAACCCTAGGGGTCACGGTCGAGACTCTCCAGCATCTCCTTTCTTTTTACTTCTTTTTCGCAGCTAATGGTCAGCTTCAGATTTTTTTTGCACCTATCGGCAATCTTCATGAAGCCGGTTCTCCTAATCGTCGCCGCGGTGACGCCACCGACTGCGAGTGTAGGACCTCCGGGCACATGGCCGCATCGCAAATCTGCGTAATCACATCATGAAAACGACCAGCCCCCATGTCGCCCTCCTTAGTCGGAGCCTGCGAAGACAGCCAAGAGTGAATAATGGCTGCCTCCTCGAGTAGATCCACGTTTAATTTCGAGACAGCTCCTCGTCCTAGGTCCAGGAGAGCTCAAATCGGATATACAGGTGATCCGAGAGCGTCTAAACTTCTTCCAGTACACGCCAGTTCCTTACTTGTGCGGCGAGGGCAGGAGAACAAACGAAAGGTCCACTATCGACCCCCCTGCTGTCGCACGCATTGTTGGTGGAAGCTCTGTTTAGAAGATAGAGGCCTACTGAGGCTGCCTACTCTTAAACGGCCTCACCCATTGCGTCCAGGGGAAACCGTCAGATAGTCAAATCTCTTTGCCTCATGAGTTTTTAGACTTAAACCGTCATCGGCGGATATGCCAAGTTTACCTTATTAATGAGACCATTAACATCATACAAATTAACTAAAGTGCAACTAAATTGTTAAGTTTTTGAAGTATCTTGTATTTGTCGTTATTTATAGTATCTCCAGACTAACTAAGTATTTATATTATAAGACAAAATTTTCATTGATCAATTATAGTTACAAATTAACAATTTAAATAATGAATATGTATTAGCGGACATCCTCTCTGAACGCGCTATAATTCGAATTTCAATGAGTATTAGTTCAGAGATAAATACTGGAGCGGACAACAGGATCTGTCAGTCTCTGATTGCGATCTGATTGTAACGTGCAAACATGAAGATATTGTTGTCCTTAGTTTATTTGTTCTTTGTTGGAAGTAGTCTGGCCGCCGGAACTGAAGGTAAGAAGATTAATTCAAGGTTACAGAAAAATTATCTAAATACTTTACTTTCATTATTAATATCAGCGTAAATAAATATGCCTACATTAATATTTTCATCCATATATATGAAATATATTATAAATCAAAATGTACAATAGAATTAAAAAAAAATGAACAACGATTCGACGAAGAGTCTGGGAGTAATTTGTATATAGTTAATATGTACGTATTTTAAAATGTTTTCTCCCTTAGTCGCAAGACAACAGCACTGCAAAGAGAAGGAAAACTTGAAACAAACCCTATACCAACCCGTCTGGCCAGCGCGGTATAGTAGGCCAAAACCTCATTTCTAAGGAGAGGCCTATGTCCAGCAGTGGACTATCATAGGCTGTTGATGTGATGATGAACTCAATCTCGATCATTTACAGACAACCACGTGAGACCATGCCAGAAAGGTGACCTGGACTGCATTAAACGTTTCTTTGCTACAAACTTCAAGTGCACACCTGGATCTGCTGATTCACATATAATTAAAGTGAAACAGCAACGTTTTGAAGTTCCAGTGACTGGTATGACGGTTACTATCCACAACGCTCAAGTTAAAGGTTTGGATAAGGGCCAAATTCAGGAATTCTAGTAAGTGTCCTTGCAAGTTTTATTATTGCTATTATTCATTCTCCTCCGGAAAATATTTAAAATGTGTCCTGAATGATTTTGCTGAGCGTGACGTGTCTCTAATCTCAGTATTTAGTTTCTTCAAATACTGTCACTAGCATACAGCCTACAGCAGCATTTTTTTTCATTCACAACTCGATCAGGTTTGTTCAACTAAAAGTTTTAGGAGCCTAAGACTGCAAATATAGATTACATATACATACATATAGATTTGTGACTGATTTAAAATAAAAATATCTTGTTAATCTTTGTAGCATAAACAACAAGACAGATATATTGGTAATGGAAGTCACATTCGACCAAATAGTGATAGATTCAGAAAGAACCGAGTGGCTTCAGTACCACATTGGTAGAGCACCAACTGAAGTAGAAGACTACACTAGCTCTATATTCAGTAAGTATAAACTACCTAACTAGGGAAGGTTGCATAAAGTATTAATTTAAAATTAATGTTAATCTCAAATTAATATTAATTCAAATTAATTTTTTTGCGCAAACAAAATTAATACAAGAACGAAAGTATAAATTAGTTTTGAAAAGTCAAGTAC